ATGGTTCTCATTTTGGATTTGGGACAATTGCTCCCTCTTGGCCAAAAATTATTCCAGTCCCTAACCATTTGTGACTTCCCCATTTGTAAAACTTCTGTACCTGTCAGGGAATCTAGTGCTGTGCTGACAGCTGATATTATATTATCCATAATATTATATATAGCTTTTGAAAATATGGAGAGATATGTGTGAGACAGGCTTTTGACCAAGGTGGACTTTCTGCCAGAGGAAGGTAGAACTAATTTTATATTATCCTTTGTGTTATGTATTATATGTTCCATAATAACAGTTTTGTTCTTGCTGACAGAAAGCTTTGAAAGAATAAAAAATCTAGACATGGGAATCCATCTGGAGAATTAAGTGTTACATTTGAGCTAAATTTGAACTTCATCTTCCTTATGTTAACGTATCTGTCTTCAATGCATAAGACCAAAAGCCAGGACAGAAGCTTCTCTGCAATACAGCTTTTCCTGTTGTGATACTTTCATTAAACTTTCATTGAAGATTTGTAAAGAGGCCACGGCATATCTGCAAAAATAAATTCCTGTGCCTGAATTCTAACTCTTGGTTTCTCTAGTTTTTCTTATTTGCAATAATGCAATACTGCAAAAAATAAAATGGGTTTAGACAAATGTTTGATATAGAAAAGTCAAACATGAAGCCCAGGGTTTGTTAGACAACAGTACCTGAGACACGCCTTCCCAAGTGTTACTTTCTGTAGTTTTATCCTTTGATAAAATGTCAACAACATGTAGGTTAGTAGCAGATTAATTGTATCTACTTTTCCTCACCTATATTAATATATATGATTATGAGACCCCTTCCCTGATCTGAGTGTGGTGAAAACTTAAATAAAAGGGTTTCTCTCTCGTCTCATTATTTTGCCCACATCAGTAAAGTCTATGGTCACAACACAGTGATCAATGTTGAATTAAGGGTAACTACCAGAAATTTTAAGAGACAAAAATTTAATAGATCCCAAAGTTCTCAAGGACTGAATTGAGTAGGGTGAATAGATAAAAGTACTAATTTAAAGTATAGAATGGTACAGGGAAAAAGCTCAAAGAAAATGTTTTCAAGAGGAAGTAATGTAGTTTATATTGAAGTTTGATTAAAGTCCTAAAACAATCCATCCATAATGCACTGCATGTGCTGATAAACTTTGAATAAGACTGCTGAAAAGAGATAGAGTGGGAAAGTTTCCATCCTGTTTTACTTGGAGAACTTCTACTTATTTTCTGTAAATGAACCAGGAAAAGAGAAAATTAGTCAAATATATATTCTGACAACAGTATCCATAGAATTTTAAGTGTGTTCTTTCAGAATAATAACACACAGAATATAATAATAATGCAAATATTTGCCCCAAAAATCCAACTGTAAGTATTGTCAATATTAGACAGGTTATAGGGATATATTAACCTGTCAAAAAACAGATGAAATTTGAATTTACAAATAAGCTAGAAAAGAGTAAATAATAAATGAATATTCATAAATATGAAAATCTGTACACTAAAATACTATCTGTTCTGGACATTCAGTAAATTATTTTAAATAACAAAAAAAACCATGGAAGCCCTAATTTGTCTGCTAGTAATTCACACGACCAAAACCAGAAGTAAATTCCATCAGTGATTCACAATGAATAAACTCATTGTGTTATTTATTAGCCTGTTGAACTCTGCAGATACATAATGTGACTGTGAATAAATATGCATGTGTTTATGTGTGTAACTGCTTATTCTGCATTCATTTCCTACTTAACTTTTACGAAATTAAACCATTAGCCAGTGAACTTTTTCCTGTCTGTGCAGAATTTATGCTTCTGCTTGAGTTGTAGTTTTTTGCTCCAGCTGGTTTTGGACGGCAACACATATCCACCATTGTATGTCTTAGTCCTCTTTGATTCTATCAACTTCATGCTTTTTCATATAGCTTTCATACAACTAGTGTATCAGAAAATAAAGATTCTGTTTATGCAAGAAATTGTTTACTCTCTGAGGAGACAATTATGCCTAGGAAGTGTTTGGTCCTGTCAAGGTCTACTAGGCACAGAGAAAGAAATCAGTGTATAGAGCTTTTTTTTTTTACAGTTGTCCAGGAGTTGCCCAGCAAAGCTGCCTCATCATGTTGGGTTTTTGGTTTTGGGGTTTTTTGTTTTGGTTTTTTTTTTTGGGGGGGGGGGTTTTTTTTGTGGGTTTTTTTTTTTTTTTTTACTTGAGCACAACATAGGAAGAATCTCTGGGTAGAGATGTGAATAAGAAATACTACTAAGTAGTAGAAGAAGACATTTTAGATACCCTTTATATCTAATAATAATTGGCTATAAATGTCAATGAAACTGTTATAGCCTGCTCAAGAGAATCCTCATAAAACTGCTGATTCCTTCTTGCTGCTTAGGGTCTGAATGATCTTAGCAGCCTCCTAGGGGAACCCAGTGTTTCTAGTATGCTGGTTTTGGAAGAAAAGTTCCACCACAGCTCTGCAACATTAATGACCAACACCCTGTGAATTGCCTTGAAATTAGGTGGCAATAAGTGAACTAAAAGCATACACATTTAACATTTCTTGGTAAGAATATTACAGTGTTTCTGCTTTTAATTCTAGAATCTTCATCAGTCCCCAGCTGACTATAGGAAATACAGTTTTTCTAAGTCACTTGCAGAAGCACAACTGCAAAAACCTCTTCTTTCTAGATCTTGAAAATCCACATTTTGTAACAACACATTTTCCCTGTATCATAATGTAGTTCTCATTTCCACTAACTAAGCCTTTATTTAACTTGGTCTTTCTACTATTCTCTGTTTTTCTTTGGTACTTGATCTGTTTAAAATGTATGAAGAATGTTTCACATGGACATAGTCATGGGCTTGCTATCCACCCTGTTAGCAGAGAATCAGGAACACATATCCACATGCAGTATGACTGTGCACAGTCCTATTGAGAGATGCTGCTCATTGGCTTCAGCTTGGCAGTCACACAGATCTGCGTTTCAGACTGAATTTGGATCTTGGACTGCCAGCTTCAAGGATAAGCAGAATGCCCTAAACCTACCTTCATCTTTAAAATGCAAAAAAAAATTCTCCGTAATATTTAGCATTGTCTGCCTAAAAATAGGTCTTCTCAGAGATTTTACATTACTTAAAAAGCATGACATTTTTATGCCAGGAAAATTAATTAATATTCTGCTCTGCCTTTTCCATCATAAACTTGGTGTGCTTTATAAAGAAGAGAATTCTACATCTGAGAAGAAAATGAGGTATTAGACTGCTGCCTGCTCTGTGAGGATGGTGGTTTTTTATTGTTTTGCAATAGTAGAATAAGTCTGGAGTTGATTAATTAGTGCAAGATACCATGTGGCCTGAAAGTCAGAAGTGAACTATAAATGGATTTACTACGTCATGCTTTTGCATCCATATACGAAGAGCAATATATTACATAGAACATCTACATCTTAATCTTCTCAATACAATACATAAAATAAAGAAAACTTTGACACAGAAGAAGTTATTCATCATATTCCACACCATGTTCCAAGCCTGTTCCCTACTGCTTCTACCCAAAGCAATAACAAAGCACTTGCCATCAGAAAAGTGTCAGTTTTATTTATATTGATCACAAAATTACCTTTTGTGCTGTTTGCTCTTCAAACTGAGTATATGTGTCAGTCAGGAAGAAGAAAACAAACCCTTACAGAACTGGCATATCTCCAATATTGCATGTGAAAGGTGGTAGGGAGAGACAAAGACAGTAGTAGGATAAATTTGATGGCGAGAAGAATATACAATGGAATAAATCTTTCTACAAAGCCTCCATGAAGTTGTTAATGTCCTCAGTAGAATTCCAGTCCTGGTTTATGACATTTGCAGATATTATAACTAGGCCAAAAATGTGTCCTCCAAAGATATATCAAGAATACCAGAAACAGTATTAGCATTTTAGAGAGCAGTATTCCTGCACCACAAATCAGAAATATCCCAGTGTCCCATCCTGGTGCCATGGCATGGAGTACTACAGGTGAGGTTGTCAGGGATTTTTTATCCTCAGAGAAAATCTCCCCCGATGTTGTGGTCTGTAAAGGTTCTGTAAAAAATTCTCTAACACTAGTGAATTGGCTCCAGGTTCTCCAGAATGTTTACTTCCAGTCATCAACACATTTCTCCTAGGTTCCAAGTAGGTATATTTGTCTTAGCTTCTACTCCAGGTCTTGCAAGAAAGCATCTTTTGAGGAGTGACATGATTTCACCTGAGTTGGAAACAAATGAAATAGATACGATACATCAAATTCCATTTAGTTCATGTGAACTTTTTGTAATAATTTATTTCATATGTCTCACTGAAAGGATTCATTTAATTATACATTAAATTTTGTATGCACTGAAGTCCATATAAACTTTCCAGATAAAAAAATATCACAGAAACTAAAATTATTGTTAATAACTTTCTGAAAGTCTAATACATAACTGTGGTGCAAAAGAAGATGTCAAGAACAGCTGACTGAAGGACAGTCAGAAGAATTGAAAAAGAAATGAAAACTTTATAATTCTATAAATTTATGCAAATCACTGGTGCACTCACAATTTGAAAACCTCATGGCTGTTCTGGTTATCTCACTTGAAAAGAAACATAGAGTCACTGATAGGCTGAAAGACATGTAAAGCATGTCTAAAAATATTAAACTGATTGAGACACTTCAAGTCAGACAAGAGATGACTGAGATATAGAGAGATCTGTAAAAACATAGGTAATATGGAATGGGTAATTGCATTTTGGATTTAATGACATGGAAATGAGAGAACATCAAATGAATTTGTGAAAGAAAATTTTCTCAAAAACTCAAAGGAAATACCTGTGTCATTCAATACTTAAATGGATCGTTGAACCTGTGGCTACAGGATGTTTTGGTTGCCAAGACTATAAATGGCTTCAAAAGTTGATTAGGCAAGGTAATGGAGGAAAGCTTCACCAAGGACTGCTAAACATGGGGGTCTGATTACAGCCTCTGGCTTGAGTTCAGGAGGTCTGTGAACCAGAGAGAGCCAGGAGCTGCAAGAACAGAAGCAAGGAAATTACCACTCTGTGCATATCCTGCTCTTGATATTCGTTCCCTGAACATCTGCTGCTGAGCACCACTGAAGGTGAGCTTCTGGTATGACTCAGTGCTGTTGATCTCAGAGGGGCAGTGGGTGGTGAAAGCAGAGAGAGCTGGTGTGGGTTTTCAGGCCTTTTCTGATTTTTTAGTGGCATTTTCTGTGTAGAATTAAAAACTAATTAAAAAAACGACCCTGATAAAATACAGCGTGCTGACCCAAATACTTCTTAATTCAAACAGTTTAAAAAGCAGTTGTGTGACAGTTCTCTTTTGTTCTAAGCAGGGAAACTTCAAAGAAAAGTGACAAAAATCATATCAGAATGGAGATTACCTGTAATTCCTTTAATGAAAGGAAGGAATGGAGCTGGTTCTCTTATTCCTCGGATAAACTCTTTAAGCAGGGAACAACAGTGGCACAAGTGTCACATATGGTGTGTGCAAGGCTTGCTACAAGAAGTGTGGAATGAATAACACTGACAGATTCACAGCCACATCATGGACCCCAGGGGGTCAACTGAAGAAGAAGCCAGGACTGCTCAGATGCCAAATTTCACTTTCCTGGAAAATGTCACTGTTGACAGCAGTCCTTTACATGCTCGAAGTGCCTCCAAGGTTAGGCATCGGTGTGACTAGTACTACACTATTTTTGAAAAAGCAGCTGAAGAATGTACAGCTAAAATAAAGCCACCAGATGAATGTAGGACAGGAGCTGGGTGACAGCAATGCCTTACCCCACTCCCTCAATTTTCACCCCCAAATACCACCTGAAAGTTGTCTGAACTCAGATGCCTTAATTTTGAGCTCAGAGGCTTTAAATAAAAGTTTGATGTTGCTGTTGTCTTTGCAAAAGCAGCCTTGAGTGAAATAATGCCCCAGCAAAATACAGTTATGTTTAGTATAACAGAACAAACAAAAGGAATTGAAAAGCATTGCACTTCATGCTTAAGATCTTCTATTCAAGAAATACTACAAATTTCCTGACCTTTCAAGCTGTAGTCTTTTTGTATCCGGAGTGGAAGCTATTTTTGTATGACTACAAACATAGAGTAGGGCAGTGGCTGTCAGTCTCTGGTGTATCAGGATGACACTTTGAAGACGTGATTTCTGCCCATCAGATCATATCACCATGTAGTGGATAATATTACTTGACATTCTATAAATTCATCTTTAAACCTTCACATCGTACAACAGAGAAGTTCCAACCATGCCACCAGTATTCATTTGGGTTTTGGCAGTTGCTTCTTAAAACCAAAGGCATATAAACAAGCAATATCCTCCGAAGATCTTTCTCAATTGGCCAAGAAATATGGGACCTGAGAGAAAATATCGCAGCCTAACAATTCAGACACTGTGAAATGTCACAGCATTAGCACTATAGTCCATGATAATAACTTCGTTATAGATAATGATTACCTTTCTTGGAAGCTTGCCAGCATGCCTGTGTAACAGGGATTCAAACCTACCATACATGTATCTTTGTTAAATAGGTGGAGATTCACTGCATTAATTTAAGCCAGGTATGAATTGAGACATTTTTACTTCAGTGTAGTTGTTCCTAACCTACACAGGAATTAAAAAAAAAAAAAAAACCAAAGCAAAACAAAACAACAAAAAGAAACAAAAAAATAATAAAAAACCCAAAAACCAACAACATAAACAAAATAAAAACAAAAGTAGCTCAAAATCTAAGTTATGAATTCATAATTTTAAATAAATGAAACAGATCCGCAGATGTTATAATTTTTTGGGAGTTGTAACTGATAAGAGCTGTCTAGAATCATAGATATTTGTTAATATTCCAAACATCTAATATATATATGAAATACAGAAAAACAAAGTATAGATACATGACCTCTCTATTAAATAGGGTAATTTTTCTCTCATAGCATGTTCCCAAATGGTTATGTATGCTTAGAATTCAACTATAATTCTATAATTCTAATATAATTAGATACATTTTAGATAACTATATAGATAGAAAATTATATTTATTAGATTTTCTGGCAACCTAGTGTATGCTTTGTCTAATTTTTCATTTCTACCGATCAAAGACACAAAGTTTTATCTCTGTCCTACAAAGACAAGAAGTTTGCTGTGGGAACTGCATTGATACACTGAGCTTCTTCATGTCACCTCTCAAATACATTAAATACAATGACCTTTTCAGAAGAAAATAATTTTCTATCTGCAGACCAACCCTCTTAAAATAGCAAATGTTTTTCTTTATTATATAAATGTGTTGTAGGATTAAGTGGACCAGCTTCTATTCCCTTTTTTTTTTTTTTTTTTTTTTTTGTTATCTAATAATCCTTCCACTGCAAACTTCAAACAAATTGCACTTGAGAATTTCTAGGTGTCTACATATCATCGGCTGGAATACATGGAACTAAAACATGGCACAATAAATATAGTTTTATGACTGGAGTTGGTTGACAAGAGGCAGAGGAAGTGTGCCCAGACCCTCCTTTTCTCCAGACTAAACAGCCCAGTTCCCTCAGCTGTTCCTCACAACACTTGTGCTCCAGACCCTCCACCAGCTTCAATGCCCTTTTCTGAAGATGTTCCAGATGCTCCAGACCCTCAGTCAGTGTTTTTCTTATAGTGAAAAGCCCAAAAGTGAAGATGTGGAGCGCCCATCCCTCGCTCCAGTTAAAAGACAAGCACTACAGCATATGTCTTAGTAGTGGATTTGGCAGTGCTGAACTTCATGACCTTAAAGGTGTTTTCCAACCTTAGTGGTGCTGTGATGCTCTATACATATACATAGTGAAAGTTTTGGGGGAACAGAAAAAGCAGAATAAATATTGTGGAAATATATGTGTATGTATGTACATATATATATATATGTGTGTGTGTGAGTGTACATATTTTCTGCATCTGGTATTACACACACAAACCTTGGAGACAAAACACTGAGACACAGGCCCAATCTGGAATGCCCTTTCTTGTGCCTTTAGGATATTCTGAAGATTTGATTTGCAAGGATATAAAAAACTAAATAACAATATGTCACAGTGTTATAATGCAGAACTTGAAACACTGATTTAGCTGAAATGTTTCCACATCAATGTAAATGTGAAAGTGAGAATGGAATTTGTACAACAAAGCAAATTTCTTTTACTGGTCATGCTGCATATGAAAGGGAGTTTGTATTGAATACGTGTACTTATCTCATGAAAAGACAGCAAGTAATCTCAAATACAAATGGAAATGTGAATATGAATAGACAATTTACACATACAGAGACAGTTTGAAGATAATAAAAGAGAGTTCTTGACCATTGGAAAAGAGATTTTCAGTAACTTACTACTTGCTCTGCAAGTATGTGATGAACAATACCTGCATTTCCTGGTCCCTAGATATCAAAACTTGAGCCCATTGTAGAATATTGTTTCCTGAATGCTGCTATTACCCAGGGTTCGTTTTACTGGAAAAGAAATGAATGCAGAATATGAACATGACTGTATTCATGTGCTGGTTCTGTCTGGGATAGAGTTAATTTTCTTCACAGTCACTCATGTGGGGCTAAATTTTGGATCTGTGCTGGAGACAGTGTTGCTAATTCAGGGATGTTTTAGTGCCTGCTGAGCAGGGCTTGCACAGCATCAGGGTCTTTTCTGCTCCTCACCCCACGCCACCAGTGAGGAGGCTGGGGGAGAACAAGGAGTGGGGATGAGATACAGCAAGGACAGCTGTAGGGGCTCAAGGGATATTGCATACCACAGGTCAACATGTTTAGCAATAAAATTATATGGGACGTGGCAAGGAGATGCTGCTTGGAGACTGGTTGGGCATTAGTCAGCTGGTGAGGAGCAATTTGCATCACTTGTCTTTCTGGGGGTTTATTTTTCTTTTTTATTGTCTTCTCATTACTTCAACTTCAGAAATACCATCGCTGTAGTATGTATTTTAAATTATTCTCTCCTATGATTTAATCTCTAACATAGAGGACAGCGTCACAGTTTCATTATTTCAATTGTCTTAATGAGCTGGATTTGGGATATCCAGCTACAGGCTATACTGGAGATAGAAATTAGAACAATTTCAGATTTTTTTTCTTTTTTTTAAGGAAGAGAAAGGAAAACATGTTTCTTTTGAGGTTTTTATATGCTTATTAGGCTTTTCCTAATGTGCCCTTCAAAATACTATTTTTAATGCATTTGTTGAATTAATAGTCTGATTTCCATAGTTTATGCAATAAAGGTTTATTTATATCAGTTAACTATGCAAAACAATTCATACAAAATATCCTAATTAAAAGCTGCTATATTATTTCTTGATCCCAGTGGGATATTCTAGTTGGAAGTATGTATCCTAAAGACTGTGATGCCAAATTATCTTTTCCATTATAGCTGAACAATTAAATGGAGCCAAAAGACATAAGAGAACTTATCTCAGATACTTTAGAATGTACTGATAATATTTTCAATCTAGTACAAATGTAGTGGCCAGTATTTGTTTTGCACAGATGAGGTAAAAACCAGAAGACAGTGGCAACCTGCTTCCTTAGGCCAGAATCTTATGTACCTGATTTATGACCTTGGCAAACATTTGAATTGGAAACTTCTGAGGACTGGACTGTCATAATTCAGAGCATATGTTTGTCATTTTTCTGTGACTTTTTAAATACAAAATAAGACTTCCTATAAACTAATTGAAAGCATAATTGACAAATAAAGGGATGTCCTGGGTTGACTATATGATGCTTGACTAGGCTATGTTTACATTACGATTATCAGTGACAAAAAATTCTACACTTACTGCTGAAAACAGACATTGAAACAACTGAATGCAAATCAAAAAGGTTTGAAAAAAATTCCTTGTCTAAATGTTTGGGGTTTTTAAAATTTCATTTTCTTTGTTCAAGTTGTGAATATTTTTCCTTTCTCATTTCAATAATCTGGCATCTTGCAACAAACCAAAGTTGAGTGCACCAAACCAAATTATTTATACTTAAGTATCTCACATTGGAGGAATGTTTGCTTTCTAAAACAGTGCACTTTGGGATAGAATTTTGTATTTCCCTGTTGAAAGTATAAATGTTCTTTTCAATTCTCCACAGAAAAGTTTAACTGTAGAAATTTACCTAGAAGTTTAAAATGTCCTTTCATTATCTAATGGTCATCAATCTCTTTACTAGTAGGAGTAAAACACATATGTGATGGTGTGATGATCAGTAAAGCAATAATTTTATCTCTGTCTTGCAAAAATTTCTGTTACAGGGATTGTCAACATTCGATATAGTACCAGTTCTCTAAATAATCTGGCTCAGTGTTGCTCTGCTCCTATACTGATTTTGCTTTTCAAAAAGAAGAAAGCCCCACATGAACTACCAAGTCAGATTTTGTGCCCTTTGTCCATTCTTCTATTGTTTGCTACTAACAAAAATAAGTTGGTCTTGTCTTCTTTATAACTGCCATTCAAGTGTCAGTTATAAAGATTTGTTTCAGACATTTTTAGGCCACCTCTTAACCACCTCTACACCAGATTAATGAAGCTCACTTTCTTGAGCTTCTTCTTATTTCTCCCCTGTGCAAAATTTCAGTAATTTCTACTCTCTGTTGGTGCTCCAACAGATTTTCCATGTTTTTGTTGAAAAGAGGACCAATACTAGCTGCAGTAAATCAGATTTGGCCTGAGCAGTGTCAGCAACTGGTGTGAATCATCAGTTCCCTCCATATAATAGCCATATTTCTTCTGATATAACCAAATATATTAGAACTATATTGATATTTGCAATGGAATTTCACTGTAGAGCTGGATCTTGTTGTGGCTGAACCCTAGCTAAGCATCAGTCACTCACTCACTCACTCACTCTCTCACCCTCCTCCAGCATTGGGGCAGGAAAGGTAATTAGTAAGGTAAAAGTGAGAAAGCTCATGGGCTGAGATAAAGACAGTTTAATAGGTTAGGCAAAAGCTGTGCACACAAGCAAATCAAAGCAAGTAATTAATGCACCACTTGCTATCAGCAGGCAGGTGTACAGCCATATCCAGGACAGTTTAATCTTAGGTGACAGGGGCCTGGATTGACAGATATCATCATTCAAGATGTCCTGTGCTTTTTAATTTTTCTCCCAGCTTTATATTCTGATAATGATGCTGTATGGTACACAATATTCCTGTGATCAGCTGGTGTCAGCTGTCCCAGTTCCTTGTGTCCCCCCAACCTCCTCTCTGGTCGGGTGGAAGTGAGAAGCAGAAAAGGCCTTGACACTGTGTAAGCTCTGCTCAGCAGTGACTAAAACATCCCTGTGTTATCCAGTCTGTTTCCAGCACAATTCCAAAATATAACCCCATACTTGTTACTATGAAGAAAATTGACCCTATCCCGGCCCAAACTGGCACAAATCTATATGATCCCCAGAACACTTTAATGATGGCTGTTCCCTGCCAGTAGTCTATCCTCTACCACAGAATTACTGCACTCCAGGTACAGAACTTGGAGCTGCTGCCTAATGAACTTCTTAAGGTTTCTGTCAGGTTTCTGTCAAGTTTCTGTCCCTGGAGTTGTTAACTGAAACTTTCATCAGAGGATGAAAGCCAGATTGGAAATGCATGTGCTTTCCACTTTAAATACAGCTGACCAGAAAATCTTCCATCTACTCAGCACTTCCTCAACTTCCAAATGAGGGGATGGAGGACATGTTCAAAGCTTTAGTAAATTCAATTATATACAAATCCTCCATAAATGTATTTTACACCACTCTTACCTGAACATGTAGCTAGTAATTTCATTTTAGCCATTCACATTGGACAAGCATGAATGACCCCTTTTTGAATCCATTTTAATTATTCCTGATGGATGCTTTCTCCTTCATGCTTTTGGAACTGAACTCAAAGAGGAATTGGCTTAATGCTCTTTTCAGGGACTAAGATAATCCTATGATTTTGAAGAGCTCATTTCTAGTTTTCCTACTGAGAGGGAGTCTCCTTTTCTACTCACAATTTTTTCCCCTCTTTTGTTCAGATTGATTATACCTCTTCCTAATATGATCTTTTCTTCATTGAGTGAGTCACCACAGCTGAGGTGGCAACACCATTTTCCTCATAAGGTTTTGGTATGATGAATGCATCTGCTTCAGTAGGAAACAGGTCAGAAGTCTTCTAGTACAATAGAAGTCTGCCTAGTAGAACAAAATTTCACCTTGTTTGATATGAGAAAACTGAACAAGGGGTATGGCATTAGAGGAAGCTGTCTTAATACCCAGCATGTAGGTTGTAATAGAAAGTAATTTTGTTGGCTAGAAAGGAGAACAGAGGCGTGCTATTTATAACAAGTTTCAACATCTGAGTTGCTTAATAGAATTGGTTTTGGGCAATAAATTATCTGCATGTTTAAATTATAATAATGATGTAATTATGGTAATATGCTAATAATTGCTAATGTAAGCATGATGTTAATGAAAAGAGTGATTTGTGTAGGTAATAAGAATTAGACACTCTAATGTATTGATCTCAATGTGTATAAGAATATCTTTGAGAATAAGTATGTAAAGTAGATAAAATGAGGCATATTTAAAGGAGTGATTCTTCAGAATTTTCCCCAGGGTGATTTTATTAATGCCAGACCACCTGCTTCTGCTAGGCCATGTGAAAAGGAAAGAAGATAACAAGCTGAAACCCTACTGGAAAACAGACACTTTAATTTTAGTGATAAAAGAATGTTAATTCAGATCCCTACTTCTGATGAATTAAATCTCTGATTGCCTTCAGTAATCTTAGACTGACTGTTAAGACAAGAGCCTAGTGAGATTATTTGGTCCTCATCAAACTCATTTTAAAGGACAATTAAAATTCTTTCTATACTAGCAGAATCTCTGATAGATCTATTCACATAACAGTGAAATTGAAATAGGAGATTTTTTTAGCACTGCTGTTTCCACGACAGATGATAGATAAATCAGCATATCCACCTTTATATTAAAAAACATATTTAGGTTTCTAAAAGCTTCTAAGCAAGCAGCATAGACACTGAGCAGTTAGTTCAGGTACATAATAAACATACAGTCTTTATTAGTCTGAACATAGCTATATAATTGCCTACACACTCATTGAAGAATGGACTGGAAATAATCCTCTCAAATGTGCAATATCCACCAAGATACAAGGTTTTTCTTAGGTCTTTTAAACCATGTGGACATATATAAAAAGAAGGCAAAAAAAGAAAGGAGAGAAGGAGTTTTCCAAGAATAATGAGCAAAACAACTGAAGGGAGATATCTTTCAAACCCCTTGTTTCCAATCAAGAAACAGGAAGGACCTTCTAGCCAGTGTAAACTGAGCAGAAACCAGGTGGATACAAGCTCTCTTCTGCACTTTTGCTTCTCCTGTCTTGGTCTAATGTCTTTTCAAGAAACAGCAGCTTTCTCTTAAAAGGAAAGAACATATGTCAGCATTAACATTAATTTTATCTAGGAACTATGATGCAGGCATAAACATTTACATCTTTTATAAAAAATGCCCTTACATCTCTTATAAAATGTAATAGACCAATATTATATATTGACATAATTATAATAGTACAGCATAAGAGAAGCAGAAACATTTTATATTGAAAATACATTTAATATAAATTATGCAAAAATAGCTTTTAAAGAAGAAATTGAAATTAATGAAACTTCAAAAGTGTTGCAAAGAATTTATCAACATTTTTGAAATGTAAAAAGAACTAGTTCAATTTCGTTCAAAATTAATTTATTCTTCCAATTTACCCTTGTTTAAAAATATTTAATTGGAAAATTGCTAATCTACACTCATCTTTGATCCAAGTAGTCAGTCAACATTTTACACTTTTGGTTAATATGAAAAAATAAGTCAGATGAATCAAAAAATTATTTTGGGCTACAAGTTCATCACACCATGAGCAAAATCCTTGTACAGGAAATTTACTCCCAAATCCACAGCTGTAAAAGCCAACCTGGCTGCTGAATGTAACGCTGGTCAAAATACCACTGTGCATCATAATGGCAAGAGAATGAGATGTGTTGATAATTAAACTTGTCTGACATGGTACCAGATGATTTTGACTGCATGACTTTGTTTATATACTAATAATGTTAATGGTTACCATTACGTAATTTAAAAAAATGGTTCATTTTTAAAAATTAATTTCAGAAATGAAGTGCTGTTTTTTGTCCACAGAAAGGATGCTTAATTTTGAAAAAGGTTTGCAAAGGTTTTTATTTTCATTCCTTTTTTTCTTTTTGCTTAAGCTAGTTTTCCAGTGATACTAACATGGCAAGGGAAATTATCAAAGAGAAACTACAAGCAGTGTAGTTTGAGCCTTATCCTCTGATGGTTTCATCATTAAGTTTTATAAGACAAGCAGATACTCCTTGATTTTCTCTGTCTTGGGGTTTTCAAAGTATACTGAAATTATAGCATATTTTTGAACACTAACATTAAATCTAAACTGGACAAAACACTAAAGAAAATGTGGTTAAAAAATCTTTGGCAAACTATGCTGAGATCAGTTGACAAAAAAACAGTGTAAAAAAACCTATTTACTGTAATGAGGAAGTATTCTGATTGACTATTAATATCTTTTTATTCTAACCCCAGGTTCTGAATCTTTTATAGGTACTGTTCCTGTCTCTGTTGCCAGTAATTCACTGCAATTCTTACCAAAAGACAGCTGAATGGAAAGACAAAGCAGATGGATGCTGTGTACTCCCGAGTTCAGACACCCAGACCTAGAGCTGTACAAAAATCCTCCACCTTGGTGATACTCACACAGATTTTCTCCTGACAGTTCTGACCACCCAAGGTGAGCATTCACCAGCCATTGATGTTCTAGAAACCCATGAGAAACAACATCCTTGTCGTGCAACTATCACAAGTTGCCACACCTTCTTAGAGGAGCGCATTAGGGAACCAGAAGATAGAGCAAAGGAGGACCTTAGGAATTGATGCTATGTGAAGGACCTCAACACATCTTCAGCAATACTTTTCCATAGGAATGCCCCAGCAGTGAGGGACACAATGCAGGACACACCCTGCCCCTCCTCACAAACTGTTTACTTTGGTGAGACAAAAGCATTGGTATTTGATTATGAAGAGAAATGAGTCTGGAATATATTAGCCATGGTTCTTCATCACACAGCAAAAGCAACTGTACATAAATCATGTCAGGTTTGATTTATCATGTCTGCATTTTCTAAAACTTTGAGTCTTTCATGGCTAGATAGTTAAAACTAACTGAGATAATTAAGACAATTTACATTAACTTTATTGTTATTATGGCAATAACTTTGCATTTTTAAAGAAAGGAAGAAGGATAAGGAAATATTGGAATTAGCCAAAGAAAAGAAATAAGGGTGAGGAAATGTAAGGATTAACTCCTGCTGTTCACAGCTCTGACTTAAACCTAGTCTGAATGTTAAAGTCATAGTCGTGCTTCAAAATGTTTTAAGTCTAGACTCTTTTGTCAGGACGGCACAAATCAAGATTGGCACCAAGGTCTGAATAGCCCAATCACATTTAACTTTTAAGAAACACATAAAATTCTGAAGAAGATGAAGCGCTTAATGAAAATATTTCCAGATGAGTATTCCAAAACTAATAAATACCAGAATTAAGGTCTCAATGTAACCCCAATTTGACACTATATTTATGTATTATGAGAGCAGCCTCTGCATTGTATTATGCTATTCTCTAGCTCCAGATTAGAGCAACCAGACACAGAAGAGATAAAAAGCCCACACTGCATCAGTGTGACTTGTCCAGAATCACAGTGGAACATCATCACTGTGATGAAGTCCAGTTTCTTTGGGAAGTATCCAGTAATCACAATTATTAAATCTTCTTATATATAGCTTATGCTTGTGCTTTATTAGCTGTTTATCTTCATTTACTGGGACAAAAATGCATGGATATCCCACAGTTGACAGTCTCTTTCATTATAAAACTTGATTGGCAGTCTGTGAACTGAATGAGGAGAGAATGCTACGAAAAAATTGCATGTGCTAATGTAATTATAGATGGTAATTCTTACATCTAAGACAGACTAATTAAGGCTGTATAGACAACCTTAATTCTGACATTTTTCTAACTTCTGAGTAATTGACCTTGCAATCGCAGTACTCCACATGTATCAATTATAATTAGCTTTTTAAAACATGAAAAACAGCCACTGTTGCCGAGGCAGAAAAAAAAAAAAAAAAAAAAAGGAGAAGAAATCTTCTCCTCTGGAGCCGAGCTGTGACTTTTTGAGAGTTAAATCTTTCAGAACAAAAATTCAGAAAGCTGCAAGATGACCTACCTACTTCAGGCAGGCCTGGCACTATTAGTAACCCCTACCCAGGGCAGGTACTAGAAACTAGAATACACATCAGCACTGAGAATTTTCACATATTTGTTGTTGAAAGGTGGTGATTAAGGATGCCTGGCAGCAATCCGGGTTTGGTGCTATTGCTGCTGCCACCAGGCTCTCTTGCCCTTGCTTTGTCTCTGTAGTCCTCTGTTTCTGCCTTTCTTACCGAAGTTCCTTCCTCTGCTATTGCCTTATTTTGTTTGCTCATTCTTCTGGGCCTTGGTCCTTGCACCTCCTCTTCTGAGCTGCAGATTAGCTGTTTCTCTCTGCTCCTGCTGCCTGCACTCAGCCTGCCTTCTCTCAGACCTCATCTATATTGAAAAATGAACCATGAAACTCCCTGAGGATTCAACCAAAGTGCTACCTTGGGGTAAGTTTCATGTGTATTTTGGCACTGGTCTGCTTTCATACAGAGCCTGGAAGGCAGAACCACAATGTTCCCTGTTAAAACATGAAAACTTTGCCTGCCTGTCAAACAGCCACAATATATCTTCTCTTATAGTGTTTTTAATATGACTCTGCAACTTTATCCCTTCAATATCATTGTGAGAACCTTTTAGCTCATGTTTTATTTATTTTTAAATAATTCAGAAACTCAATATATAAAATTCAGGTTTTATTTTGGAGCATGGAAAACCTACTATGTAATTATTATAATGTAGAAATATGTAGAAAAAAGTTAATTGAGCATTGCTTTGGAATCACTATCTCTACCTCTCTTCCACAGACAGCAAAAAGCAGAATGTTATTAGAATCATAATGATAACTGACTTGTGATTAGTAGTCAAAAATTTAACTCATCTAGTTTGAAAGGTTGAGAAGTAGAAATATTTCTTTTGCAATATTTTTAAATAAATCAAATGTCATATTGAGTAGATGAGATCCTACTGACAGTTTCAAATATTGTTTCAGTTCAATCTCTGCTTAACCTGTTGTCAGAAACACAACTTACATAGTTTTTTCAAATGACTAAAACAAGTTCAATCCTAAGCAATTAAGCAACTAAATATGATCTGCTTTGTCCAAACTTTGTTTGGAAGAAAAAAACTCTGACATGGGTGTATTTTGATGTTATAATATTAAAGGAAAATAAATTCCACAAGGAACATGACATTCTCAAATGATACAGCCAAGACTTTCTTAATATACAGTATCAGAGTTCTTCACCAGATACTGCCCAGGGAGAACACCATCTTAGTATTAATGAATATAAACAAGCAATAAATGAATTTAGAGTTAGCATTTTCTCACCATCAAAACAATGAGATGCTGGTGCATTTGCAAAGATAATGTATTTATACAGGGTATGCAGCAGGCTCCCTCTCCCCAGGGCATATATTTATATCTGAGCTTCTTATCCTGGGCTCCCCTTAGCAGTGAGGAGGAAGTGACTTTAGGGCACAGAACCAAACCTCCAAAAATGAGCCATATCTAATTAACAGGACCAAGTATGTAATCTATGCCGTAATTTTCACTGAGCTTTAATGTCATAAAGAGATTTTTCCAGATGTCTTTTTATTTCCCAAGAGACTTCATCTTTTCACTGAGTCTTTTTATAACAGTTTGGTGTTTGGTGGGGAAGGGGTGTTGTTTGTATTTTTGTGGTTATTTTTTTGTTTCGGGGTTCTTTTGTTTCTTGGTTTTTGTTTTGCTTTTGATTTTGAGGGGTTTTTTTACATTTATCAGGAAAAGGGACAGGAATATGCCTTGATATCAAATTCTATTTATTTGTGGGAAATAAGATAAATCATCTGATAAACTTGATACTCAGTTACTCTTTTTAGAATATGTTTATTTATAGTTTGAAGAGCTAGCTTAAAGCAATGGAAAGTAAAGACTAAGACATTTCAAATCTGAACAAGCTTAAAAAAGTTTAAGTAAAAAACTGGATTGTGGATATTCTTCAATCTGTTGTATTTACTGTTAAAAGAGAGGAAAGTAGAAGGAAGTGAGTAGGCACAAAGCATATACTGTAAAAATAATTATTTTAAAGCACTGAAAATTTGCCATGACATGCTGTTTTCATTATATTTTTCAATATATTATAGCTATTCTAGGGTTTTTTATTTATGTTCCCAAGATAAATCTCATTTATGTATGACATTGAAAGGTGTGTATCAGAGGCTTTGCTTCTTTTGTTCATACTGTATAGAGCAGCAGCTAAAGTAGTTCAGAAGGCAAAGATCTACAGAATTAATAGGATTCAAAGAGGGCTGTGAAGTAGTAGATTAAAAGAACATTGATGAGAGTGAGAAAAATAAATCAGTTTATTTTCAGCTGATCACTATTGATGAATTAGATGAAAAGGAAAGCAGCTATCAGTTAACTGATGGAAATAAAATTGAGTCACGTTGTATTGGATTAACTTTGCCAAAAGCTAAACTCTCATTCAGCAGCTCTATTCAGTCCCCTTTCCCACAGTGGGGGCTGCTATGAGGAAAGCTAATTCCATCCTAACCAGACCCCACAAAAATCTCTACAGAAGATATTTTAAACTCACATTTGACAAAATAGTATTTTTAAGTGAAAGATTTTCCAGACAAAATCGGAAATTCTACTTTCATTGGACTCTTGTGTTTTCTGATTCTTGCTTTAAATCCGCAAGAACACTAGGTATCTCCACACCAATTAATTACAATCTTTCACTTTGCAAATGACCATTTACATAAAAACAACAATTATATTCAACTACTTAAAAATTAAGGCTTACATACCATATTAACTAAAGACAAATATAAACTGTTTCTTAACATAGAGAATTTTCAGTGGTGGATTAAAGTAGATAATAAAGCAACATTTAAGATACATTTTCTGTAAGAAAAAACAAAGAAAAATTCTTACAAGAAATAGACTAAGTTAGTTAATTTTACAAATTTACATGTCAAATATCAATTCCTGCTCCCTAAAATCATTGCAATACTGCAGAAGAGATTGGACATGAAATTTTCCTTGGAGCAAATTTAAGTACATGCACAAGAAATAATGGAGCATGTAGATTCCAAAAGACACAAATAACTCGCTGCAGTGTAAAGCATTGGAATACCCTGGCAGCCTGTCTTATTTATGGAAAAAGGTCGCAATAGCTAGAGGACATGTCAGGAGGTATGCCCACATCTAAAGGAGACACTATAAATAGAGCTTTCATTCAGTGCACATATCTTCTGTCTTTTTAGTACACTGTCAAGTCTGAGCCTACCGGTAATTTAATGGCAATTTATAAATTATTTCTCTGCTGACTGTAATGACAGAAGCCTTGAGATTCTCAGTGTGTGAGATGGCAAAAGAAAAGTCAAGTTTTAAGTATAGCTTCCCTCTTAGCTAGGCTGTTTCTTTGGTGTACTTATAAAGCAAATGATAACAAATTTTTCACTAACTTGGTAGTAATTTAGAGCCCCCACATCTATCTGTATGAGTCAAGAATCTGCTCATCACTGCCACTGTGGAAATTACACATCTGAGTCAACAAATCTTCGTGTCTACATCGAATGAGTGAACAGGAGACTCACTTGGTTCTCGGGGCTTGCATAATATACAAGAAAATAGGAAAAGCACACTGAGCCAGACCAAGGGTCTCTTTGCTGGATGGTCTTTGATATTAGGAAGTGACAGCTGAAAAGACAGAGACTGTGAGAACCAGGCAAGCCTTTAGAATACAGGCTTATCCTGTGTTTTTTCCACTCTGTCCTCCCAGCTTTCAGCAGACTGTCTAGGGATTTCTAGAGCCAGAGATATTTTTGTTTGTTAAAGTCTTAATGTGTATCTCTTCCATGACTTTGTCATATTGCTTTTTGAACTGATTTGCACTTTTGACATCTGGAATGCTGCTTGGCAGAGTTTCCACCAGAGTCTATGTATTCAGGTGAAAATATATTTCTTGTTCGCTTGTTTCAACCTGCTCAGGGATGATGTCTTTTCATGATCTCTAGATTTTATACTGTTAGAAATAAGGAGGGTTTTCTACCCTTATATCCCATGGGACTTGAAGGCTCAGCTAAATTCAGACCTACAGGATTCATATATTTCTGAAGTAAAATTTAAGTTGCTATATCATTCTGTTACAATGAATGCATTTATTTCGCAAAAGACCAGATTCAGTTTCAGGAAAATTATGTTTATTTTTTGTCCAAGCTACTCTCAAAAGGAAGAAATTTATACAATGATTTTTATACTGACAGTTTCAAATTTTTTGTCACTATTACCTGTCAGATTCTTAGACAGAATCAGTTTAAGGATGTTCATTCTTTTACTAATCATAAATAATAATAAAACTTTCCAATTTTAGCCTTCAAAAAAAAAAATTCCATGCATTTTCAAGAAATAATAGCACCATTCACAAGCACTCAGCACAATGTTTCATAAGTGTGATATAAGGCATTGCAAATTCCAGTTTCAGATAAAAATGCATTGCTTTTTTTCCTATAAATAAGTGTTTGTGCTATGGCAAGCTTTCCCGAGAAATTTTATACATAACCCCTTGAAAATTGCAGAGAACAGACAGAGCTGTCTGATGGTATTCAGCATGATCAGGGAAGTTGAAATGATAATGACATAAAGTAATCTTGCTTAATATTCCTTTTAGATTCTCTGCTTTACTCTGGCTTATCTGGAAATTGTTACTATTCTAGTCATTTGCAGTGAAGTACAAAATTGTTTTCTGTATTTCTAGCCAGATTATAAAACAAATACAGAAGTCTAGGAAATTTCTAGAGTTCCTCAATGTATCTCTCTTCTAGGACAAAGGGACACTTTTTCAGCTCTCGTCTCCTCATTTCTCTGGTTTTTTGCCTCTAAACAGCCACTAAGTTTCACAATATGTATAAGCATATTGAATGGCTGAATAATATAAAAGTTCCAGATGTTAACTTTTAAAGATGAAAGACAGGAAAGGGCTGGTAAATTAATTGCTAGCATCTATTGACATATGTTCCAACTCCATAAAGGGTTCTTTTACAGTAAAATACTTTTAAAAAATAGGGTTTTACCTCTATCTATTTTATCACGATTGACTTAATGATGCAAAGTTATCAAGATTATTTTCATTAAAAACCTGTCAACATCCTGTGTTGGTTAAAGCTGTCCTCTTGTTCAGACTTAGATCTGTCAGACTCCTAGCATCAGCACATGTTCCAACTTATTTTGCAATGATCCTTGTATAGTTTTTCATTGCTCTTCCTTTTGAAGTATTGCTTGAGTCTGACATATCATCAGCTTTATCCATCTCAGCTACTTCCATGAGATTTTGCCTTGTTCTCTCTGGCTTTAGAAAAGGGTATTAAGAGTGGTATATGAAAAACAAGAGAAGGAAGACAAGACTGTGAAGTGGCACTTGGGAGCTCAGTGTCCCAGGGAAGTATCAGGGATCTGACTGCC